TTTTTCACTATAATGATGGAAGGCGATTACAAATGTGACTTAATATTTTATGGAGGGATTTTGCATTTATGAGTCTCATCAACAACAATACAATCATATGTACTATTATTAAACATCTACTATGCAAATATATATATAATAGTGTGGACGATAATGGACTTTTACTATCTAGTCTTCCCGAGCCATAAGGGAGACTAGTTGGTCAATCCCTAAGGGGTATTGCATTGATCAGTATCAATGCACCATCTCCATGGTTTCCTCCTCTTCTCATGTCTTCAACCAGTCCAGCTGCAACATGTATCCTATACTAGTTGGCACGCAGGCCCAAATGAAATTTGACTCGCAGGCCCATAGTAACAATAATAATAATGGACTCGCAGATCCAAAATAATAACAATAATAACGGGCTCGCAGGCCCAAAACGACAAAATTAAAAATTAACCATTCAACACATCCATATGGCCGAGTCCATAATCGTCCACTAATAATACATTCATCACATAAATGTATACCTATATAATATCTAATATTATATGCAAATAAGTTTCAAGTTTCTAGCAATTAAGTCGTCTAAACTCTTTTAGACAAATGGATCGGAATAATTAAATAATTAATTAATCATAATAACAAATTAGAGTCCAACTCTGATTCAACAATTATATGGCGGGATTATTTAATTAAAATCAAATCTTAATTAAATATCAAATTAGAGTCAAACTCTAATTTCAAAATGTAAGGCGATTGAATTTAATTAAAATCAAATTTTAATTAAATGACAAAACTAGAGTCTAACTCTAATTTCAATATTTAAGGGCGAATGAATTTAATTAAAATCAAATTTTAATTAAATGGTAAAGTTAGAGTCTAAACTCTAAATCTAAGATTTTAGGGCGAACATGTTTAATCAAAATCAAAATTTTAATTAAACATCTAATTAGAGTCTAATTCTAATTGGAACAAATTATAGGGTGAATTGATTTAATTAAAATCTAATTTTAATTAAATAGCAAACTAGAGTCAAACTGTAATTCCAAAAAGAAATTTAAGGCGAGACAATTTAATTAAAATCAAATTTTATTTAGACGTCAAATTAGAATCCAATTCTAATTTCTAAAATATCTTTGGGTGAATAATTTAAATAAAATCAAATTTTAATTAAACATTAAATTAGAATCCAATTCTAACTTAAATTGAATTAAGATTTTAATTTAGGATAAAACTCCTAAATAAAATAAAATTCAATTTAGGGTCAAAGTTTAATATTTACGTTAAAATCTAATTTTAACGAAAATATAAAAAGTCGTCAACTTTAAATAGAATTTTAAATTTGGGTCAAAATTAAAATTATGGGTCAAACCCATTGAAAGTACAATTTTAAAATCAATTCAAAATTCAAATTCAAAACCATTTGGAAATTGAAATTTGACCCAAGTTAAAATTTATAATCAAAACCTCACAATTTCGAAAATTTCAAAATTAGGTCCTTATTTAAAATTGCAAAATCACCCCATATTCTTTATTGCGGGCGGCCCCTCCAAATTTCTAAAATTACGGAGCAGCCCTTAATTTAAAATTGCAAAACCACCCATATTCTTTAATTGTAGGCAGCCCCCTAAAATTTCATAAATTGCAGATGAGGCCCCGTCTCCACCCGATTTCTGAAAACCCTAAAAAATAATTTTTTTTTTTTGTTCCTTTTGGGTTGTGGTTCTCCCCTCCCCCCCGGCGCCGGCGCCAATAGTTAACCATCTTGCGGCAGGAAGCCGCTTTGCGGCAGCTTCCTGTCGCGCGCAGCAGCAGCAAGCTGCTGCAAACACAACAGCGGCAAGTGCCGCTGTCTCAGCGCGGCAGCAAGTGCCTCCCCCCGCCGGCGGCAACACTTGTCGCCGGCAGACAGCCTTGCACGAGAAAAAAAAATTCAGATTCCAATCCAAAGTTTATTTTATATTCAAAACCATTTTGTTGATATAAATTTCTAATTGCTAGAAACAAGAAACCAACAATCAACTTTTGATTATTTACATAAACAAGACAATAAACAATTTCTAACAAACACAAAGTAGGCTCTGATACCACTATTGGGAAGCTACTTATACATGCACAGCGGAATTTAAAATAATTTTCGATTCCCACCAAGAATCGTCTTTGTGTTTAGATAGAGATTGTGACAAGATTGTACCTTTTCCAAATCTGCAATTTTTTTGCTTTTCTTTTCGTTCCATCAACCTTGATTCGCCACCACAGCTGTCCAATTGTCCAGTACCCAACGGTGATCCGTACAGAGAATAAGATTGCAGCCTCTAGGGTTTTCTCTTGTGCCAGCAAGAATAATGAAAACCATAATGGACCTCAAACTCTAGTTATGTATTTATATAAACCCAAACAGGCTCAGTCCGGTCCGGTCCAATAATTAATTAAACTCGGTCCGTGAATTAATTAATTCGAAAATATAAATAACAAATCCAATTAATTAATTTATCTAACGATTGTTAAATTAACTAATTGGCAATTTGCAATCTTCCAATTCTCTTTTGTGTGCGACCCATTAGGTTCCCGACCACGATGCCTAACGATGTGAAATATTATTTTGATCTAATCAAAATCGATAAATTAAAATACCCTTTTAATTTATCGTCAATTCACACTCGCCGTCCCTGATTGACATCTAGCAATGTGTCAGGGCAATATATGTGACGGGAAATGTCACGTGGTATGACAAAACCAAATTCGTTCGTTTACCGTGAAACTATAATCCCTTCGTCAATATGATCCAATCAATTACGAGATATGGAATTGTGTCAATCTCGATCATCGATCATATCTTTCACTCCACTATTAAGTCAATATAAGTCGAACACTCATTTTCGACTTATGAGTACACCTTGGCCAAGGATTTCATCATCGACTTAATCGAATGAAACGCAGATCATAATCTCCTACTATCTAAGAGTGACGAATCCTTTATTGATCAATCACAACCTTCATACGATTCTTGACGTACCCGAACGATATCGTATTAGCGGCCCTTTTCAGAGCAACATCCAACACCGCCAAAGTATGACTGTCCTCATATAAGGTACCATGACGACCTCAAGTCAAAGGACCAATTCCACTACCGAGCGTTAGAGATTAACCACTGACACTCAGATAATTATCCATGTGGAATCTCTTGACGGGTCTCCAATGTTTTGTTCTATAACAAAACATTCACGTGTTCATTTAAGTGTCACCACACTTTAACTTGTGAGATCAGCTACTTATTTCACAAGTAAGAAATGCCACACGTGATGGTCTATCCGTAATAACGATATCCGTATCTCGTTATTACTTATGACCACGGATAATTTAAGATTCAATAAGATGTAATTTGTATCTCACAATCACAACTCCTTGTAATTAACAAATTACAAATATTTGAATTTACGGACTGTATTATTTATTTAATTGTCTATTAAATAATAGATCTGTCATTTAATTGCATTAATTAAATATAAAAGTATTTATGTCCAAAGTTGATTGGACTTAGGGCATAATACTTACACGTAGTACCTAAAGTATTGAATTTTACTATTTATACATTGATTTTTAACACTTGTATTGTTGTCAAGTGTCAATTGGATGGAAAAAGTGTTTGAAATTTAAATTGTTCAATATAGGGTGATGGCATGTGACAAAGTGTAAATAAAAGTGTAGTCTATAGTATACATGTAGCAATGTTGCTAAAGTATTATATAAAATACTGCTGCAGGAAGTCACATGGCTGCGCTTGACAAAATGGTTAAAAATGTTTTCAACTTGCTAGGCCCAGACTTGGAGGAAAACACGAACACTCTTCAAAGAAAAATAGAATTGCTGACTATTCGAAAAGATGACGTGCATATGGAATTACAATACGAAGCATATTCTGATGGAAAAAAACGCAAGAGAGAGGTTGAAGAGTGGTTGATTAATGTTGAAGACATAATAACAGAATTTGAAACCTTGAAAGAACAAGTACAATGCTGCAAAGTTTATACACGACAAAAGTTGACTGAACAGGTTGAAATAATGACCAACGAAGTGACTGAGCTTCTTGAGCAAAGTTATTTTCCTAAAGGGCTTTTTCATGAGGGTACTCCATCAACATTTATTCGTGCACTGTTGGAGTTTTTCACGGATGAAGAAATCTCAATAATTGGCCTTTGGTTGGGTCGGAGAGTAGGCAAAACAACTTTATCAAATAAGCTCTCCAATGAATCCACATTCTCGGATCATGTTTATCATGTCAGAGTCTCTCAAGGGAGTAGCATTTACAAATTGCAGAGTGACATTGCGCAAGGTTTGAAACTAGATTTCTCATGTGAGAATGACGAGAAGAGAAGGGCAAATATACTCTGCGAGGCATTCAAAAGAATGGGGAGATCTGTGCTTATATTGGATGGTGTCAGGAAGCAAATCGACGTAGAGAAGATTGGCATTCCTGTAGGAATGAATGGATGCAAGTTGATCATAACAAGCCGATCGAAAAATGTTTGCCATCAGATGGCTTGCCAGAGAATTATAAAAGTGAATTCAGTTTCTGAGCAAGACGATTGGGAACCATTCTTGAAGAAATTTGGCAGTGTTAAACCTCAAACATAAACTAGATTAATGCTTCTTTTTTTTTTCTTTTGACTTTTTTAGTCTAGAATCTAGATCCATCTAAATGTACATAATTGTATCGTTAGCCCTTGTTTGAAATTTTTTAGCCCGATTTTGATCCGTCCATGTGTGGTTTATTGGAGAATGTGTAGTTCAAAATGAATTTTTAAAAAATGAGGCTCAAACAAGGACGAGTACTTCTAGTTGAATTAAGATTTGGAGTCATTGATACAATTTGATTAAATTGGATCCATATATAATTAATAATTAACTATTTTCAATTTTTTTTTTTTTTTTTTTGGTTGAGTCATTGCTAATGCTAGTTTTTTCACCGTAATATTAAATTGCTTTTCTTTTAGTTTCTGTAGCATTAATTAAAATTACGGATGTAATTACGATCTTTTTTGCTGTGTAGTTTACCCATCAAATTAATAGTTTGTTCTAAAAGTTTTGTTGGTTTAGTTAAAAAAGTTGATAAAATTTAAGCCAAAGTCAATCTCTAATTTTTAATGAAATGTTTTAATGAGATTGACAACTTTATCAACTTTTTAATCACAAATTTCATTATTTTTTTTAATAAAAATTTACTAAAATTATTTTTAATAATACCAAAACAACAAAATGTAGGCATGTAAAAATACCATTTTTCATTTTCAATATTTATTCCTTATTTCCATTTGACCCCACTATTTTTTCTTGCTTCCACTTTTGACCTTATTTAAAAGAAAATTAAGTTTTCTCCCCTATTCTCTCTTTCATGTATTTATATTTTCCTCCTCAATATTTTCCATCTATTTTCATATCTTTTCTTTTTAATTTTAAGGAATCATAGGACTGTAGAGTACAACTTTCTGGGTTGTTACATGTATATGTATCTTCATTTCTTCTTTCATAATGGTTGGAGAAGATTATTCTTGTGGATTGCATATGGTTTCCCTTTTTCACTGTCTTGAAAAGAAAAGAAAAATGAATAATCTAATCATATTGAAATATGACACTGAAAACTTTTTATAAATGGGTACGTCTCGATGGGTAAGATAAGCCTTTTGACGAACACTTTTTTTAATTAAACCCGAATAAAGGGTCACTAAAAAATTGTGCATGGCTACAAAGATAATAAATAGTGAGAGAACATCCTTATCCTTTCCCAATTTGAAACGAGAGGAAAGCATAAAGTTCAGTAAAATTAATCTATGTTTATTATTTACTAGATTTAGTAAAAATTAATCTATGTTGAAAATAAGTGTAGTGTTCTAAATTTTACATGTTTTACTCTCATTAAGAGACGGGGATATTTTCAGACAAAGCACTCAAATTATTGATTTTGTTGTTGCAAACAACCATGAACTAGTTTCCAAATACAGATTTGTCGGAACCTTCACTGCAGTTTCAAAACTTAATTAATCACGAGCATCAATCTTCAAAATTATGATTGAACTGGAACTCATTGTTATGTAGACAACAGATATCTTCCATAACAATGGTGCTTACAAATGGAAGTGCAGTGAGAAACAAAGCTTTGTGGAAACACTATAATTAAACAATCGAATTTAGTCCCATTTGGCCAATTGGCCTCCATTATTTGATGTTATAAATTTTAGAATAGTGTTTTTTTTTAATTGAAATAGAAGGAAATTTTTTTTGATTTATGTGTAATATTATTTTATTGAAAAACATGTGATTAAAAAGAAGAGAAAAAATGTATTATAAATTTAACGGGCTCAAGCAGGGGCTTAATAACTTCAAAGGTGGGGAGGGGGAACGAATTTCTTAACAACAGCAGAAATTTGAACCTACAATTTATAAAATATATAAATAATAACTGAATTTTGCAAGGAAAAAAAAAAAAATAAATAAATAAAAAAAAAAAAAAATAATAATAATAATAATAAGGGAACGAGGGGGTTTTACTTTGTATTCCTTTTCAATTAAACGACCTGATGGGAAGAGTTTCTTTACACCAACTTAAGTCAGCTTTGCAACTAGAATCGCCCAAGACAGCGATCAAATGAAAGAATTCACTGAATTGGCATTTCTGTAATCTCTGCACTACCGAAATAAATGCCAATATGAAAAAAACTATCTGTAATCTTATATTTAAGGTGGCGTGAGTTTATAGATTTGATATTATAATATTTGATGGAGCGACTTCTTCTGATTAAAAACGACTATGAGTCATTTACTTATCCTTCAATGTGTGCAAAATTGTTTTTTTAGCAACCTACAATTGTTCTCATGAATGGAACCATGCAAGGTTTTTTTAAATCGTCGCGTGGTCTTCGTCAAGGAGATCCTTTATCCCCTATTTGTTTATTATCATGCAAGAGGTGTTGACTAGACTACTGAAGAGGGGTTTTGAGGAAGGACGGATTGGATGTTTCTCACACCCTAGGGGCACAACTATGATAACTCATTTGATGTATGCTGATGTCATTTTTGCCAATGGAGGGAAAAGGTCTATCAGAGAGCTCAGGGAGGTTCTAGGTCTATATGAGAGCTGGTCTGGTCAAAAGATCAACTAGGAAAAGACTGCTATTTGTTTCTCAAAAAATTGTTCAATGACTGGGAAAGGAGTAGCACTAAGGGAGAGTAGTTTTAAGGAGGTTCAATTTCCAGTTATTTACTTGGGTGTTCCAGTGGTCCAGGCTCATTTAACTGCTCGCCATCTTGAGCCCTTGGTGGAGAAAATCAGAAAGAAAATTGCAGGTTGGAAGCTTCAATTGCTGTCGCAAAGGGGCAGATTGGTCTTACTTCGTCATGTTCTCATGTGTATGGCTACCCATTTGTTGTTTGTGTTGAATGTTACAAAATCTATTTTTAAGAGACTCAATTACATCCTCTCATCTTTTTTTTGGGGTGAGGTTAATGGGAGGACTAGGAAGAAATGATGTTCTTGGAATAAACTTTGTAAATCGGTGGTGGAGGGGGGGATTGGAGTTAGGAAATTTGAAGATGTCCAGTGTGCCCTACACATGAAGTTTGCATGGAAATTACTGTCATCAGATTGCTTATGGGCAACTTTTTTCAGGCAAAATATACAAATCATGGTTTGATTGATGTCTCCACTTTACGTTGTATAGGCTCTCGATTCTGGTGCTCTATTGTGGATGCATCCCTGATGTGATTAACAGTAATCAATGGCGGATTAGGGAGGGTTCTTTCTCGTTCTGATATGCTCATTGGTTCGATGACGGCCCTTTGTCACGGGACGCATCACATATTGATCAACCAACTCTTAGAATCAAAGATATTTGCTTGGATAGTGGTTGGAATATGAATCAATTACTGCAACTTGTAGGGGAAGACAAAGCCACTAGTGTTATGGCTAAGGTGGGTAAATGTAGAGAGGGGGATGATGTTCTTATTTGGAAACCGAATAGTCAAGGAACATCCTCTTCCAAGAGTGCATGGGACATGATTAGAGTTTGACAGCCCCAAATCTCTTGTGGTAGATGGGTATGGCATTCTGCACTCCCAAAAAGAATGTCAGTGATAATGTGGAAGGCTTTTTCTAAAGCTTTAAGTGCTGATAGTAGAGTTCAGCAAATGGATGTAGCCTTAACTTCTCGTTGTGATTGCTGCCTTACGGGAAATGAAGAAACACCCAACCATGTTCTTAGTATAGGTGAGGTGGCAAACGAAGTTTGGAGGAAAGTTTCAGTGGCTTTGGGTATTCGGTGGAGATCTAAACAAAACTGGCATGATGGAGTAAATTTATGGTGGGCCATTGCAGGTAAAAAATCACAAGTTGGGTACTTACAAAGGTTACTTCCAACTATACTGACGTAGAGGCTATGGATGAGACGTTGTAAAGCGAGAATGGAAGGTATTCATGAAACTGTGGAGCAGATTTTTCGTTCGATAAAATTTTGGCTACAACATGTGTCATCCAATTTGAAAAAAGTACGAGTTCTCTTGCGGTCAGAAGAATTACTTCTTAGAAACTTTGATATTAGTCCAATGGTAAATCAGGAGAGACCTCTTCAGATTGTTAAATGGGCTAAACCGACAGTGGGCAGAGTAAAGCTAAATGTAGATGGAAGCTGTCTAGGCAACCCAGGTATGGCTGGTGGTGGTGGGGTTGTAAGGGATGAAACGGGCAGGCTGATCGCAGGTTTCTCTTCTTTCTTTGGATATGGCACTAACAATGAGGCGGAGTTGAGAGCGCTTATTGATGGGCCGACCTTGTGTCAGGATTTGGGATTATATCAAGTGGATATTGAATGTGATTCGTTGTTAATGGTTTCCTGGATTCTGACAAGAAAATGTACGTTATGGTACTTGTGAGATTTTTGGGAAGTTCTTATAGACCTTCTCAAGAAGTTTGATTTTCACATCATGCATTAGTATAGAGAAGCTAATCATGTTGTGGATGAGCTGGAGAAGTTAGGTGCTAAGGGGAAGACAGAATGATTCTTATCATGTATGGAACTACCAAGGTTTTGTCGAGGGTTGATCCGTCTAGATAGGATGGGTGCGGTGTACATTCGTCAGAAAAGATAGGTTTTTTTCCGTTGTTTGATTACATTGATAGGAGTTGAGATTATTTGTTATTTTTATTGATTGATCGGTTGTTACTACGGTTTTCCTCCGCCTTAAGTGAGGGTTGATATGAATAAATGCCTGATGGGCTTTTAAAAAAAAAAATAAAAAAAAATGAAGGAGAATAATGTAAAGAAAAAGAAGAACTTACATAAAAATAAAAAAACAAAAAAAAAATAAAAAAGTGTGTAACATTGTTTATTATTTTTTTTTTCTTTTAATCGTAAGTGATTAATCACCTAACTTAAAATGCATGACAAGAATATTGTTTCGCGCGGGTTAGTCGCTAACAATTAAAAAGGATCAGATGATTGTGTAAGGGACAAACCTCTTGAGACAAAGTCCTAAAAAGGGGTGTTCTTTTATTGGCAATAACCTTACAATTGGAAATTAAAAACAAAGTGCCTCCAAGGGGCGTAAGCACACGAGTTACTGAAAAAAGTGTTTAAGTCTAAAACTAAGGAAATTAAAATTAAATGTTCTCTGTTTGAGAGTTTTTAATTCGGTCCTTTGCTTTATGTCTTTTCTCCCTTTTATACTTCATGGACGATCTCTTTGTGATCAACCGCCAAAAAACTGCCTGATCGTCCTATAACTGCCCACTTTCCTCGTAGTGGCCAACTTG